GTCTGCTTTCGATGTCGTTTGAGGCGAATCATCATGTGGGGACCAAGACCATTTGCGCACCACATTGTTGTAAACAATCCACTTCTCATCACCAGTTATCAGTCGCTTCAAAAAAGGATCGTGGGGCTGGCCGAGTGGCTCAATTGGTTAAGAGTTGGCTTAAGAGTGCAAGCTCTGAGCAACAGGGTCACCGGTTTGATTCCTACATGGGCCAGTGACACTGCACCCTAGCTGAGCTGTCACTGAGCTGCCAACAGGTGACAGGATGGCTCAGCTGGTGTAACAACAAGATTGCCTGTTCAATGATGGGCTACGCCACCCACAACTAAGATTGAACATAGCACCTTGAGCTTAGAGGCCACGAACTGCTGACAGAAAGCCAGATGGTGACTGGTGCCCTCCACAACGAAGACTGAAGAACAACAACTTGGCTGGTCCCCTCCCCCAATTCTCCAATAAAATCTTTAAAAAAAAAAAGGATTGTTTTCCTCATGTTTAATGAGCATATTGCAGATGTTTATATGCACTGTCAAATGAATTTCTTTTGAGTTCATGCGGAACCCAAATGTCGAACTTGCTTAAGTATCCCAGCTTCTTCAGGTGGTCATGAATGCTTGAATGATGGATGTTCAATGTTTCTGCAATCTCTCATGTCGTGTAATGTGGGTTTGGCTCAATCAATGCCTTCATTTTGTGGTCATCAACCTTGGTAGGCCTCCCTGACCAAGGGGAGTCACTAAGATTAAAATCACCAGCATGGAATTTCGTGAACCATCATTGGCACTGATGTTCTTGTAGAGCATTGTCACCGTAAACTATGCAACTTTTCACAAGCTTGATGCGCATTTTTCCCTTTATGGAAGTAAAACAGTAAAATATGGCAAAAATGCACAGTTTGGTCTTCCATCTTCAACTTGTTGTAAATCTCCAAAAATCAACCAAATGGCTCAATGTTTATTTAGAATGAAGCTAGAACCGTCAGCTTTCAAATGACATAGCAATAACATAGATGCGAATGACTCTAATACTTCCAAAAATGAACTAGCGCCATCGGTTGCAAACATGCGTCATGACTTTTCCGACAACCCAATAGATCAAACCCAGGTGATCCCTGGGAGCCTCCTTATTGCATCCACCATGCTGCTCATTAATGCAACCTCAGACATACTGTACCCCCAGGGGCTCAGCTCCTCCATTCATAAACTGTGGGTAACTCAACAAAACAAAGAACTCCAACCACCTGTGCTGACTGAAGTAAAGGGAATGTGGAATGTGCCAAGGAGAAGGAAAGTCAGAACCGATGGGTGGCTGCTTCTGATAACATTGAAGGTTGAATGCCAGCAATGGCTTTATGATTATTTGCAAAAATGAGGACTGTAATCTCAACTATATTTGACTTTCTACTCTATCAATTGTACCTAATTATTTTAACTGATATCTCTTCTTTCTCCTCTCTTTCACTTACTTTATAGGGTGAATTACTTGTGGTTATATTTATATTTAGGCCACATGTTGCAGATCTGGGGAAACGTATACATCAAATGGAGACACTGAATTAAGAGCTCAGATGCAGTTGTTACTTAATTCAGGTGTTTCCCATTGGGTAGAGTGAGAACGTTCTCAGTTCTCTTAGGGATAATTGGTTAGTGTTAGTCCACAGGTAGACTGTAGTAAACACTTGTAATTGTTTTCACTGTTCAATGTTTAATACTCCTTACTGTTTGCACCGTCCCTCCATTGTGGGAGGTCCCCAATTGTATGTAGTCTAGGTAGAAATTCCCTTCCCCTTTGGAAGTGAAAGGATTTGGATTCTCCCCTTCCTACATCTCACCGCTAAGGAATTGCATCACTTAGTTTGACCAGTTAGGCACTCTCTCTGGAAGTTTCAACCTTGGAAAAAAATTGACCCAAGAATATGTAGAAGGGTGAAGCAGATCAGTCGCCGGCTTCTGGAAGGCAGCTCACTGTGGCTGCTGGCCGCTCATGCTGGCTGCTGGCTACACACGGTAGCCCAGCTCTAGGTTGAGCTGTTGTTCAGCATCTTAGCTGTGGAGGGCAGTGTCACTGGCCCTCATATGTGGGATCCGAACCAGGGCCCTCTGGCGTCCCAAGCCAGCTCTTAACCATCGCGCCACTCGGCCGGCCCCAAATACAGAATTCTTGATTGGCAGAGATTTTTCTTTTTTTTTTCTTTCAGTGTCTTAAAGATTTTTGTCCTTTGTCATCTGGATTCTGCTCTTTCTGATGAGAAGTAAGCCATAATTATTATATTTTGTTGTTCCCTTTATGGGATGGATCTTTTTAAATTCTGGATACTTTAAAGATTTTTTTCATCGTCTTTTGTTTTTAAAAATTTCTTTATGATGTTACCATGTGTGGTTTTATTTGCTTTTATTCTGGTTGGGGTTCACTGAGCTTCCTGTATCTCTGTGCATTGCTGATTCTAATCAGATTTAGAAAAGTGTTGGTCCTTATTTTTTTCAGATGTAATTGTCTTCCTGATTCTTTCTTTTTCTTTTGGGACTCCAATTACATGTGCTATTATTCCACAGGGAATTCAGGTTCTGTTTATTTCGTTTTTAAAGTCTTTTCTTTTTCCTGTGCTTCAGTTTGAATGACTTCTACTCAAATGTCTTCAAATTCACTAATTCTTTTTTCTTTTAATGTCATCCAGTGAATTATAAATTTTCAAATATCATATTTTTTTACTTTCAATATTTCCATTTGGCTCTTTTCTACAAATTCTGTAGATCTCCTAAAATTCTCTGTCTCTTCATCTATCCTATTAATCTTTACCTGTAGATTTAAAAAATATTTTATAGTTATTTTGAAGTCCCTTTCTGCTAATTCTGACATCTGTATCATCTAATAGCTTGCTTCTGTTGACTAATTTTCCTCATGACTGTGACTCAAATTTTGCTATTTATCACATGTGTAGTGGTTTTTAATTGCATATTTGATATTGTGAGGAGACAATCTGAACTCTGTTGTCTTCCTCAGAAGAGTGCAATTTGTTCTAACAGTTGTATTATTGGAAGATCACCTTGAGCCAGGGAAATCTTTGTTTTAGGTTTATTTTAGTTTGTCATTAGTCAGTCCTAAGGCAAATCTCTTGGTCTGGGGGTAAGGCCTCCCCCCCAGGTATTTTTAATATCTTAATTTAAGTTTAATTTACATACCATAAAATTCACCTATTGTAAGTATATAAATCAATGATTTTTGGTAAAATTATAGAGCTGGGCAACTGTAACTGCAATTCAGTTTTTTAAAACTATGGCAAAATATGCAACATAAATTTATAGTTTTAAGCATTTTTAAGTGTACAGTTTAATGACATTAAATACATGCACATTGTTGGGCAATTATCACCATTTTTTATCTCCAGAACTCTTTTATATCTTGCAAAACTGAAACTCTATATCTGTTAAACAGCAACTCTTATCCCCCTCTCCCATTCTCAATCCCTGATAACCACCATTCTACTTTTCTGTCTCTAAGAATTTGACTAGCCTAGGTACCTCATATAAGTGGAATCAGATAATATTTGTCTTTTGTGAATGGCTTGTTTCACTTGATATAATGTCATCAATATTCATCCAAATTGTAGCATGTGTCAGCGTGCTTTTTCATGCTTGAGTAATATTCCATCATATGTGTGTATATTTATCACATTTTCTTTGTCCACAATCCAGTTTTTGAACATTTCAAAATCACCTTCAAAATCTTCCTTGTGCCCTTTAACAGTTAATGCCCACTCTAACCCTCAAGCCTAGACAGCCAAAGATCTGTTTTCTGTTTCTATAAATCTACTTGTTCTATCCATTCATATAAATCAAATCGTACAATATGTAGGCTTTTGCATCTGGTTTCTTTCAATTAGTATGATATTTTAGAAGTTGAAAGGAGGTCTTTACTCCTAAGGCATGGCCCTTCTGGAGTTTTAAGGGAAGCCCTAGTCATTTACCAAACTTTTCTAATTTGATGAGTCTTGAACTGCAAACTCTGTATCCCCTGTGGTGAGTAGCCACTGAAATCTATGCATAGGTCTTTTAGTTTTCCAGCTTAGTTCCTTAGAGTGCCTTAGAATCTTAACCTTCACAAATACAGTTCAAAAGTTAACTAAGAATTTGAAGGTGGTTAATGTGCACATTGGGGACTCGCATTACCCTTATACACACACACACACATATATATATATACGCATATATATAAAATAATATATATTTAGTTATATATATTTATATATATATATAGTTTCTTTTAAAACATTTATTTATAATAGATACTTCTGAACATGTAAGTACCACGCAGATAGATAAATAGATAATGGGGTAAATAGGGTAAATAGATAATAAGAACAGCTAACATTGCTTGAGCACTTATTATGTGCCAGGTACTATTACAAATCTTTAAAATATTAGCTCTTTTAATATTTACAAAAGAGAGAATTTACCCAGCTTATAGTAGCTTTAGGGATTTGAACCCATCTGTAGAGTCTCTCTATTTAATAATTTCACTATTAGGGGATATTCTTAGGGATGAAAATTGAGGACTGGGGATGCCATGTGAAAGGAGAAGTTGTGTACTCTAATGACTGATTGACCGAGACCTGAAATGGGCTAGTTATATCTGCCCTTATTGCTTCTGGAGAAGCAAGGTCTCTCCTCCTCAGGTGAATGTGTGTTCACAGAATTCACCCATCCCAAAGATGGAGGGAAAACTCATGGTTTGTTTTTTTCTACAATGATATGTGGAATTTACCAAAATATTTAAACAGGACTGGGTAACCTTAAATTCTATGCAAGAACTAATGGATCAGTTTCTGATGGAATTGATTTATGAGCAAACTAAAAGATCAATTTGTGTTCTTTGTATGTGGGGAGAGGAGGCTGGAACTCTTGTTAAGACTCAAAAGTTGGACATTCCAGATTTCTGCTGCCTCCTCTTTGGTCTACTAGGATGGACAATTTCTCACAATGTGCTATCCAGTGTGTGCTTACCTGCGCAAGTGGTGGCAGCTGCAGGCATCTTTTCTAATTATCTCCTGCTGAACACAACCAATTGACCATGGACAATTCTCAGTTAGGCAGAACTTGTGCCCCTAATGAGAAGACACAGTTAAATAGTACTCTGATTATCCAGTTGAAGCATCTTTATGATACCCTAAACAGCCATCTAATTTAGTTGTGACAGAAGAGGAAAGCAAATGAATAGAATATCTTAATGGGTGAATAAAAGTTCAACATACAGATATGCATGAATCTGCTAACAAAATGAGGTCTTACTAGAAACAGATGTACCAGTATAGGAACAGAGGTTACTTCTTGGTGGTTGGTCTATGGATAGTTTTATTATTATTTTTTTTATTTGTGTGTTCCTGTACTTCCTGTATTCTAAATAATAATACAAATTACTTTTGGACTCCTATTTTTTAAAAATGAGGGATATGGTAACCTGGTCTTCAGTGTGCTGCTTTAGATTGTGCAGCATGGATTGGGGCTCAGAGCCCTGCTTCAGAAAGTCATCAATCATCCCTAAAGACTAAGAGCTTTAAAAAATTCAAACATACCTAGAAAAAAATTCTTCTGACGCCCAACTTGTCAGTTTCTCACAAATATCTAGGGCAGGATATATAATTTGCCATTTAAATCCAACATGTGGTAGATATCTAATAAAAATCTGATAAATAAATGCAGAAAGAACTAATGAATGAATTAATAACATGTTCTGTTGGAAGTTTTCCAATTGCAAGTTTCGGAAAACCGAATATAAATGGGGTATTAGTGATTACTGTATCTGGAAGGATAAGGGTCAAGCTGGACTCAGTTATCTCTTTCCTTTGCTTAACAGCACATGAATTGGCTTCAGAGTCTCTCTGGCTTCTTTATAGGTCTGTCACATGAATGTGACCCTAGACAAGTCTTGGGCTACATTCTTAGAGCTTTTAATTCAAAATAAAAGAAGAACTTTGCTTTACCTCCAATCTGGGAATTCCAGGTAAGTGTGTAACTGGACTATCATGAGTCATAGCCCACTCTCGTAGCCTGCATGAGTGGGCATTGTGATCCACAGCCCCGCCAAACCCCAAGGAGCTGGGAAGACTCCCTCAGAGAAAGGGGGTGGGAGGTGTAGATATCAGGAGAGGCACGGATAGAGACAGATCTGGCAGACAAAACCAACACATCTTCTAGAGAGGAGCATTATTAATAATGAAAACGACATTGATAATAACTGTAATTTATTATATGCAGGTACCATCTGAGCCCTTCACCCCATTTATGTCAAAGCCATTCCACAACCCTTCAGGTTTACCAATTAGATCCATTAAGTGACTGAACCAAGAGCAAAGTAAATGACAGACAATGAAAAGGCTAACACTTAATGGAGTATGATAGAAAGGGTACAAATGCATTGAGATGCTTTAAACTTAGACATGCTGCTGATAACATGCTTGATTTTTTTTTTCAGAAAAAGGGAAGGAAGTCATCTGTTAACAAAATTTAGGACTATATTGCTGACATACATTTTAATTTACCAATTTATGTTGTCGTTGTGGTTCTCACAAGCAAATATTCTAGCTTTTCATGTGAATTCATTCTTTTTTTTTTTTTTTTTTTTTTTTAAGTTTTTTTTGGGGAATTGGGGAAGGGGAACAGCACTGGGGA